TTACGAATACCCGTCACAAACCCTACCGGTTGACCTGACTGACCTGACCCGACTGGTCTAAATGCTTAAAGACATCATCTATGATCAAAACTAACACGATTCGTGATCAGCACCCGGAAAACCACATAGCAGCCACACTTTACGACTTTCTAACAGGTCCCGATTTTCCCGGTTTTCGAGTCATTGACCTGACTGGAAGGTCACCGATGACCTAGGACCTTAAAATTGGGTATCATCGGCTTCCTCTCGTGACGGGCAACACGCTCGTTTTTTCCGCGAAGCTCTAGCTCGATCAGGGGCCAAACGCGAGGGGGGGTCGTACAACTTGTGCCGTCGAAGGACTCAAATGGCCTGTGCCGGCGAGGGTTATCATAATGAGGTCATTTTAGCGGGTATCTCATTTCTGTAAGGAGTAATTTAGTAAACATGTTTGGTGACCTTTGGTGGCGTCACATGACCTTAGACCTGTGCAATAGCAGCAAGACATCAAGATAGATAATGTTGGTCATGAGAGATGTCACTTATGGTATAATGGCCATTACGAAGCATTTTAGTGATAAAATAAGGCAGTTGATGTTCCCCTTTGGCTTATAATGGGAGGTCAAGAAACTGACCTGACCTTAGGCCATCGGTATTCAAATTCCGAGACCTAGGAATTATAGCTAGGTATACATGATGCATGGCCTTATTACATCCTGCAACTTTCAAAGCACTCGGTCATCTACTGTTTTTCTGACACGGCGAAAAAGTTGCAAAAAAAAGATATTTAGGTCGGGTCATTCAAAGTAACCTGTTGACATGGCCTTTCAAAATAGTAGATAGCAAAAAAATGTGCAAAATTAATTAATCAATGTAAAAAACCTCTTTTTAATGACCGGATCTCCTTGAAATTACCAAAATCGAAAAAGCTAAATATTTATTCGTTGGTATTCGTTGCTATTCGATAAGATACAAAAAAAGGGAAAACGTTGGGCGGATAAGATCAAGTCAGATAGAGAAGAGCGAAACAGTAGAGATCCTCACATCGGGACAAGGGATGAAGACTATACAATCACGGATGATGGGAGAGATGAAGCCGAGACGGAGAATATTGGATCTCCCGTCACCCAGTCGTCCGGCCAACTCCTGTCGGATGTACGATTTTCTGATACGAACAAACGACAGCCACCACCGTCCGACCGAGACACCGAAGATCGACTGTCGCAACTCAAGAGTTAGGTAGTAAAGATATACAAAGGACACAAAAGTGAATCAAAAATGTAAGTAAGGAACAGCAGAATGCGTTAAAGGGGCTCAGGGATAATGGTGATTTGATTGTGAAACCTAGTGACAAGTGTAAGGGATTTGTGATCTTAGACAAAGCAGATTATGTGGATAAGGCCAAACACGTACTCAGTGACCCGGAGAACTATGAGCGATTAGAGAAAGATACTATCCTGAAGGTTGAGGCGAAAATGAAAAGAGCTCTTAAGCAAAAAGTCTCGGGTAAGCTCCCGGATAAGGTTGTAGATGATTTTACCCCTAGGCATAGCAGGACTCCTTTGTTTTATGGTCTACCCAAAGATCACAAACCGGATGTTCCTCTCCGACCTGTGGTCTCGAACTGTAAGGGTCCGACGGAGAAAACTTCAGTTTTATTGGAAAAGATCCTTCATCAACTGATACAGTTTGTGCCGCTGCATTTGAAAGACACTAATTATTTTCTGGTCAAACTGAAAGACTTTTGGTCGGCGAATGACATACCTGAGGCAGCAATATTTTTTAGCGTGGACGTAGTCAACTTATACGGCAGTATGTATACCCCTGGATGGTGCGATGGAGGCGGTCAGAGAAATGTTAGAGAACCACAAAGATGACATAGACTTGTGTGGCCTTAGTGTAGACGGAATATGTGACCTATTGAAAGAATGCTTATCCAATAACGTGTTCAGGTTTGGGGATGAGTTCTATTTACAGAAACAAGGAGTAGCAATGGGGAATCCAGTAGCACCTATTGTGGCCATCCTGTTCATGCACCGTTTTGAAACGCAGGCCTTGGAAAATGCACCAAGGAAACCGGCTTTTTTGGCTAGGTATATTGATGACTTTGCTGGAGTGTGGCTAGAAGGCAAAGAGTCGCTCAATGAGTTTGTTGAGTACTTGAATGGCATAGATTCCAGGATACAGTTCACTTGTGAAATGACGGACGAGGGCGCTGGATCTGTCCCTATGCTCGATACCTTAGTGTCTCTGACAAGGGTAGAGGGCAGATGTAAGTACTCGACAGAGTTATTTATCAAGCCAAACAACGCAGGCATTATCTTGCATTTTAAGTCCGCACATCCAAAACGGACCAAGGTCAATCTAGTTAGATCTCAATTCTTACGAGCCATCAAAATTTCCTCTGATGATCAGACTAGGGAGCGGAGTTTGAACAAGATTAGCGAGTTACTTGACAAAAACGGATATCCTAGTAAGATGGTCAAAAGAATCAGAAGGGAGGCGCTGAGGGTGACAAATGCGTGCAACCTTAGGAATGGACGCAGTCATAAGGACCGGAGGAGGTCAGATGATAGACAGGAAGCCCGCGCTTTCCTTACGCTTCCTTATGTTGATGAGACGGTGCTGTGTAAGGTAAAGAAAGCGGTTAAAAAGTCAAAGTTGAATGTGCATTTAGGATGGTACGGCTCTAGCACTCTTAAAAAATCCCTTGTCTCTTCAGATCTCACCAAGCCTCCTTGCCCCGCTGGCTCCAGGGCATGTCCGACGTGTTTGGCCATATCGGGTGGGAAGTGCACATACAAAAACGTTGTGTATGAAGTGACATGCGAAATTTGCGGTAAAACATATATAGGAGAAAGCAAAAGACCGGTCAGGCTAAGGTTCAATGAACACATTAGGAGCATGTTGGCTGACACTGAAAATACCCCTCTCGGGGATCACTTCCGGACTGAGCATGAGGGAGTGATAAAAAACAAGTCTCTGCTTCGCATTTCGATCCTTCAGAGAACGCGGGATCACCCAGACCGGAAGATAACCGAATCGCTGTTTATTCGTGATAGGAAACCTGCGCTGAACGAGAATTTGATGTCCTGGTCACTGCTATAGACTCGCTGACCTGACCTGCCACGATAGTCTTTTGTTGATGTAGTCTGCTTGAGCCTTAAGTGTCTGTGCATTGTGTAATGCTAATGTGTGTTATTAATGAGCGAAATATGTGACAACAAAAGTTATCGACTATCTAGGCCACATGAAGGGTACATAGGCTGTTTATGCATTAGGAAGATGTCGCTGTGTATTGTGCATGTGCTGGTTAGGGCAAAGAAACTTTTATTTGCAGATGTGTTCGCTAGGAATCTTGTTTGAATTGTACTTCAAAAACATAGTTAGATCAGAAGAAGGTCCGTGACCGAAAATTCATCACTTTTTTTTTGTATCTTATCGAATAGCAACGAATACCAACGAATAAATATTTAGCTTTTTCGATTTTGGTAATTTCAAGGAGATCCGGTCATTAAAACTTGTGTATTACGCTTGTATTATGCTCCTTGCTCAAGCACTCAACAGATTAAAAAACCTCTTGATAGACGGGGACCGCATATTGTTTTAGCGTGTTGGTAATGCATGTTTTAATTCTTTTTACATATTCTTCATCCTTCAAATGTGCAGTGTTAAGCTTCCATATTCCATTACCCCTCTTGTTTTTGCTTTGAATTTCTAGAGTTATCATTATATTGTGATCGGTGTGATACCCAGGAATGATGTCAATCGAGTTCAATGAAGTTATTAAGCCTTCGGAAACAAAAAACATGTCAAGGCGTCCAGCTTTCAGTGGGCTTTTTCTGTACCATGTTTACTTTTTGTCCTCTGGATGTGCGTGTATATTTCGCGGGGCGATGCGGGGCGGGGCAGAATTCCTAGGGATTCTCTTTACTGTCCCCAACCGTGTTCGCTGGCAGTTTGTTTGATTGCGCTCAGTTAACTACACTCAATCTGCTGCTTACTAATGGATTGTATATAGGTGCTATTGCGTAGTGACACATGAAGGTGATGAGCTGCTACATGGATCTGAAAGATGTTGCACATTATAGCTTGTAGCTCCGTGTTGGAGCTTGAATGATGCACCTTGTGAACCGTATGTAAAAAAAGATCTGAATCCGTGGCAAAGTTGGCGACGAATACTTGCTGGCGAGAGCATGGTTCGGGAGATCTCTGATCACGTGAGATCAGCCTCGTTACCCAGCCTGCCGTGAGTGTCCTATGTATGATGTGCTTATATTGAATAAACGTTAAAAAAAATAATTAATCAATAGTCGTACCAAATTTCGCCGTACTTTGCGCCGTGTTTTTTCCGCTATTCACGATCAAAACCTCGTGGGGGGGGGGGGGGGGCGGATAACCCGTTGGTGCGCTGGCCATTAAAATTGAAAGTTATAGTAAGAGCGGCGGCAATACAGCGACTCAAGCTTAAGTAATGTTGTGGAAACATTTGACTGCCATTTATCTAGTTTTGTAAAAGATTGAACATGGTGACAAATGTTCTTTTATCAAGAGTTCCCCGTTGCTTTTCTATGTAAAAAGCGTTTCTTGACTTACTGCAACGTTGAGTTCTCATTTGGCGCATTTATTGACTTATTGTTTTCACAGCGGTACAAAACACACACAAAGAGCGATACAATAAACGAATATGGAAACTAATAGCTTCCAGTCAAGAACAAGATCAAAGAACAGATCACAAAATACAAGGAACACAAGGTTTTCGTTCACTCAGCTTATCCCCTCAACGCACATCATTTCATACAAAGTAAACAAGCATCACAATAGTTGAATTTCCACGCATTCTCAGCACACCCATATCCGCCCATTGATGACATGCATCCTACGATTGTGCTTTCTTGCCCTTGCTCCCCTTTCGCGTCTTGGTCTTGATCTGGTTGGTGGGAGCGTCAGCGGAGAGGACTGGCAGTCCCGAGCTCGCCTCCACTGGGCGTCCGGCAAAGAACAGACCAGAGGGCTGTTCACGGGCCCTGTGTGCGGTCGGACCGCACACAGCCTCCAAGCTCCGCCCACTGCGTCCCTACGTCAGCCTTCCGTCACCGCACACAGCGATCGCTGTGGCCGGTCGGGACTGGCCACAGCGGACCGTCCACCGCACGCAGCCGTGACGTCAGAACCGCCTACCCATCCCCTACCCCCACGCCTGCTGGACGCACCGCACACAGCGCACGCAGCAGTGTGCGGTGCCCGTGAACACCCCTCAGAATAGCCAGCGGCCGGGGCCTCGCGGAAGTTCAGAATCGGTCGGTACGCAAACACGGGCACGTAACCCGGCAGCGGCTTGTCTGAGAGGCGCTCAGCAGGGTCCTCACCTCCTGCTGCCACTTCCGCAGCGGGCTCGTCTTCTTCGCCATCTTCCTCTTCCTCATCCTCATCATCATCGTCATCCTCATCCTCAGAATCGGAGTCGGAGTCGGAGTCGGAATCAGAGTCGGAATCATCATCAGAGCTGTCCTCCTCCGAGTCGTCGTCGCTGTCCTCATCGGAGTCCTCCTCGGAGTCAGAGTCCTCTGCCTCCTCCCCATAGCGCGGCGTGTCGGGAAACTTCGCCTCGCCCTCGAAGGTCACCTCGGCCTTGTAGCCGTCCTCGGGGTCGGCCAGGTACCGCACCGTCTGCACACGTCCGTCCGGCAGCGCCACGCGGTAGGTGCCCTCCTGGTCACCCTCCTCGTCACCCTGGTGCTTCCTGCCGAACTTGGTCGCTCCGTGGTCCACCTCATACTCGAAGCTGTGTGCCTTGTAGCTCTCGTCGTCCTCGGTGGCTGAAGCGCGCGCCCGCGTACCGGCAGAGACGACGGTGAAGAGGCAGGCGACGACCAGCAGGACGACCAGCAACAGGAACGGCTGCGGGACACACCGCGGGCGTCACGGTCATGGCAGACAGTCACGCTGGGTGGCGGGTGGGTGGGGTCATGTGGGTGGCGGGAGTCAGCGTCATGGTCAGCTCGGGTCTGCGGGTGGCGTGGTGGTCTGGACAAAACAGATCGAAACACATTACGGGAGCTAATGCCGAAACAATCAGACAACATACACTTGAAACTAGGAATGACAGGTGAATATAACTGTCTGAACAATCAATCAGTCTGTCATATTGTCGTTCTCTAAAATAATATAGCAAATTTGATTTTATGGAGATCTCAAAATACATTATTCAGCTGTTCATAATTGATTTGAGCGACAATTCATGCTTTCAAGAGTGCTTTGTCGAGATCTTACTTAGTGCAATGCAATGGCCGCACATTTTTCGCCTATTTTTTCATTCAGATATTGTCATTGAATAGGCCACTTGTACGTATTACTTACGGCTTATTGAATTTGTATATTATTACGGAAAGCTGAGGCAGGAAAGACGTTTGGACAAATCCCATTTTCCTTCCTTCGAGACCTTTGTGTTCTTAATTGCATTGTTAGAAGGCAGCGGTATCATGTTTGTTACAGACTAAGCTAATAACATTGAGTAAGCTGATCAATCAGAGCAAACATTTTAATTGTGATATTGGCAATTACCATTACATATTGTGTTAAAACTTTCATGGACCTCATTAGTAAGACTTTTTACCCAGCATTCATTAGCATGCATTAGCAATCATGTAACAAGTGATGCATACAAAGCTATTCGATCATGATGGTTACCAAACCGAACAGCGCTAGGACTGATGGGGTTGTAATTCACAAAAAAGTAAGAAACCTTCATATTTGCGGGTCCCATTGGCGTACCATGCTCACAATTTGCATTGTTCAAGTTGCAGGAGTGATGTAACCGCCTATCCGTCACTGATCTCAGAAAAGTATGAATCAGCATGAGCTAATTGTACACTTTTCCGAATACCTTAAATTCTACCATGGTTGCCATTGTTACTGCCAGTCTATCATTAGGACGTCAAAGCACGAATATGTGGAATAGTGATTCTAACCTCATGACTACCAAAATAATAATATCAACGAAAACAAAGCATCACTGAGCCCTGATGTCACGTCATTAGACGCCATGGTGACAGTTACGCGCGTTACACAATAATGGTGGCGCGTGGACGGACCCGCTACATCTCCTGATCTCTCCAACCGGTTTGTGATCATAGCCGGTACGCTGGCAAGGTCGCCCCTCCCCTCCCAGCTCCCTCCCCATCCCCTCTCCAACTGCCCCGGCCGCCGCCGGGGGAACCGGCTGTTTCCATCCGTCGGCAAGTGGAACAATGAGACACCACACCTTCAGACAGTACACAGATTAGCAGTTATACATACAGATCGACCGGAGGATAGACGGCGGGGGGTGACTCACCACGGATGGGTCGTTATCCTGATTGCCTTTTTGAGGATATCAGTGCCGGTGGGCTGTTGTTGAATGTTTGTGAATGGAGAGGGAAGTTTCCGGTTGTAATTGTATAACCCTTTGAAGACAAGTGGATTTGTGAATAGCAGATTGGCTGAGGCGATTAGACTAATTCGTAAACATTTAGCGGTAGATATGACTAATTGAAGCCGACGAAGCTCGGTTTTGAGGTGACGATTTTGGAACATTTTCCTCATGTTGGGTATAAATGTAACTGACCGGCTAATCTTGTCCATTTGTAACAGAGCGCAGGATTAGAAGCAGCCGGACCAGCTTAGTGTCATGTTGCCTGCTAGTGCCATCGCCGTTAAAATCTGAAGACATTGGGGCCTGACATAAAATCTGACATACAATCTAAAGGCACTGTGGAGGACTGGGTGCATCTGTAGGCTGTAGCCACTGTTAAAGCTGCTGTTTTTTTTTAAACAATGTTTGGGAAATCGAACCCGGAGGTCCAGACAATGACTACAAAATAAAAATAACAATCGTCGAAAAGCTGTTGGAACAATCATTAGCAGCAAAGATGCTATAGTGATGCGCAGAGAAATTAAAACTCAATTTTGGGTATGATTAATGGCAACAGTTTTAGAAATGAGAAGGCACCACGGTGCTGGTTTCATGATTCCCTAACAGCTTGGTGTAGTGATACCAATTACAGAAAATCAGATTACCGATACCAAACCAAATGCCAACCTATAGGAAATACCGAAACCGAACCAACTTGGGAACTGTAGGGAAATGCAAAACTTTTTACCGATTTCTCCTCCTCTTATATATTAGTTAGGGTTCATAAAAAACTAAACACATTAAACCAAGCTGGTATCGGTTTGGTATCGGTATACCAAAACGTTAGTATCCGATTGACATCTCTAGTTTGGTGTGAAAGCTGCTATGAGTTGCCCTCGAATTCAAAGTCATCCTGACTAACTAATTAACAAGTAACAACCTAATAGCATATAGTACTTTAAGAGCTATAGAATTATTTTCGATTAGAGCCCAGTAGGCATTACATCATATCAAGCATAATAAATGTTGTAACAGATCAAGTGCTACTCGGTATATGATTTATATACAACAAGAGCAGAATCCAGCTTCAACCCGGTATGGTATGCCCAAAGGTATGCCCTATATATAATTTCTGCGCTGCAATTGCTGGGTATACATTATACAACGAACACATTTACATATCTGACATTTCAAAAAAGGGGCACAGATACCACCATAATCTCTAGAATAGCCTTCATGTTTACCTGCCGCAGAAGAGCTCACATTTGTGCTGAATCAAAAGTTATTCACATGTTCGGAGCGGCATTTAGACGAGCAGATTGGCCACAGAGTGTCGGTCTCACCTTCATCTTGGAGGCTGATGCTGTGACAGATGCTAACAGTCAACTAGCTGACGCGCTGACCTCGGGCCATCTTATAGGGGGGCCGGTACCAGGTGACCCCGCAGAGGTCCTTGGGCGGTGCACGTCTGACGCCGGCGCCGGGCCGGGCGGGGCGGCGGGCGCGGCAGGGGTGCAGCGCAGATCGGCGGCTCAGACAGCAAGAGGGTGAGAAAAGGATTGATGGTTAACTCCTCCAACAAAGCTGTGCGACTTCACAAAAATGCTGGTGTTTTCATTTTTTAATCTGTCGCTAAGGTGGGTTGACTTCTTTGATGCATTGCCGTGTATGTACTGTCATGCATATTGCAGTCCACATTTTTACATTACCTATGTCATTCCAGAACGTTTTTCTTTTTATTTCAATAGGCTTTTCTCATTTTCCTACAAGACATATTCAAGTGATTCTTCTCGTGTTGACAGCGCCTTGCTTCTTCGCAGAGAGCCGAGCATAAAACTTCATGAACCCTGCGAAGAGTCGTTCTCACAGTAAGGCCGTACCCCACGTTGGGGTCATGATTCGATGTGAGCGACACCATTTTTATGATACGCGGTGCATAGCTTGTAGCTGACTTCTGACCACATTTCCGTGCATTGACCGTTTCCGTGCTTGCATCACCAGTCACCAAAAATGTGTCAACGACGCAAAATCTGCGTCATGGCGAATAATTTCCTCATTTCGAGTCTTCGAACTCGCTGGATCAGCAGCATTTAACACAATAAGACGGTCGTATCCGGTGGAATGACACGACTTCGACAGACAGCGAAATGATTTGTCTTTATTATCTCATTCGTTTCAAGATCATTTGTTTTGTTTCTGATTTGTTGCTCCTTGCGCCTTCATGAAGTTACAGGTTGGTGCTACGGCATGGCTCCAGGAGCTTGATTCCCTTCGGGGAAACGACAGAAATGTTCTGCAACGCTACCGTGTGTGATGGGGGGGGGGAATGACTGCGGTCTTTTGAAACATCACTCCAGTCCACGACCTTCTGGAGGAACTAAGAGAGTGGTGTATGATACCATGCGAGGTCGAATATTTGACGGATATACCGTGCTGAAAAAATTATTATTTGTATCTAAAAGTATATTGGTTCAATGTGATGTGATCGATTGCATGCATCTGCTAAAACAACACTTACCACAACATGGTAGCTTCCAAAGAATGGTGAAGGTTTGCGGTCATATGAATGCTTCTTATCTTTTGATGTGCATTCTGTAGATCTTTGATGCCCAAAACTACATTGATGCCCACGTGTATTTTGTCGGTACCATGACAAGTGTTGGGCTGTGTGTCAGGAAAACGGTGCATTAGCATGCAATGCTGCCGCCAATAGTTTCTTAGACATGGCAATAAGCTCTCGAATGTTTTTGCTTATGAAGCTAGCACACAAATGCCACGGAGCCTACGATTTTGCTTTTAACCCTCGCCGGCACAAGCCATTTCGCGTCCTTCGACGGCACAAGGGGGGGGGGGTTGGTACGACCCCCCCCCCCACACGTTTGGCCCCTGATCGAGCTAGAGCTTCGCGGAAAAAACGAGCGTGCTGCCCGTCACAAGAGGAAGCCGATGATACCCAATTTTAAGGTCCTAGGTCAGCGGGTGACCTTCCAGGTCAGGTCAATGACCCGAAAACCGGGAAAATCGGGACCTGTAAGTGTGGCTGCTATGTGGTTTTCTGGGGTGCTGACCACGAATATCGTGTTAGTTTTGATCAGAGATGATGTCTTTAAGAATTTAGACCAGGTCGGGTCAGGTCAGGTCAGGTCAACCGGTAGGGGTTGTGACGGGTATTCGTAATACGAGTCAACCGCCTCTGACAGCTTCGTAACATGTTACGAAGGCACCAAAACTATTTCATAAATGTTCAAATGGTTGCTAAATTCGAATTCAGCTCCAAAACCTAGCCTAGAAACATGTAAATTGTAAAACTCGAAAAAGTGAACCGAGGTCACCCGAGGTCACCAAAGGTCAATGACCTGACCTGACCTTCAGGTGACCTTGACACCCACTCTAATGTATGGGAGCAACATCAAATCACATGTTTGATCGTTTGAAACCACGAAAAGCTTGCAAACGCGCGGCTAATGCGAGCCGACATACGCGGAATCGCGATTCCTGCCAAACACGGTCTCGAAAAAGAGGTCACAGGTCAAAGGTCATTTGGGTCAGGGTCATGAAATTTTCAGGGTAGGTGTAAAATTGATCAATGCGAGGATACTGAAAGTTTCGTCGCAATCGGGCGCTTTTTACGCGAGTTATTCGCGAAAAACCTTAGGGGAGTTGCATCAACCCCCCCCCCCTGTGCCGGCGAGGGTTAATCGAGTCAGGAATGTGCTTCCCAGGATATATTATCCCTCGCCGGCCGAGGGGGGGGGGGCGGGTGCCGCCCCCCCCCCCATAGGGTTTTTTCGCGATAGCTCCGAACACGCTGGCGATAGAGAGCTGAAACTTGGCATACCTGACCTTTGATCCAAGCCGCATCTTTTGACACCAACCGCATTTTTGGGTCAGGTCAGGTCACTGACCTATGACGTCATAAGTGAACCTCTGCACGGTCTTCAGATGTCGCAACTTCGCAACGCCCTCACTGCCAGAGGAGATGTCACAGGGAAATGAAACTTGCAGGATCTAGTATCCATTATGAGTCCCACAACTTGTATATCTCGGATTTTTCCTAAAGGTCATATGAGGTCAGGTCATTTTCGTGACCTCACCATTATAAGTCAATGGGGAAAAATGAAAACTGCTATTCTGGCACCGGGAACGATCTCCAACTATCTCAAGCACACAGAATCGTGATTTGATGCACTCCTTGCAAGGTTAGATGCGTCACTTTTGCAATGTTGACCTTGCGTGACGTCATTTATGACGTCATCAAGGTCATATTAGTTTTTCGTTAATAACTCTTGATCAAATTGAGCTAGCGAGTCGGGAAAGCCACCAATGGACTCAGGAAGGCCTGCCGAATCGAATGATATGCGACATGACCTCTTTCGACCAACTTCGTGACCTGGGGGTGCTGACCTGACCTTGACCTTAGGTCAACAACCCAAGTTGACCTGACCCGGACAAAAAGTATACCATTCGACGCGCCTGAGCGAGGCGAACACGATGCTGCCAAAATCGGCGCTCTACGGCCGTTTTTTTGCGAAGTTATTCACCAAAAACTGAACCGTATCTTGGGGCACTTGACCTGACCTCAGAGGTCACCGGTTGACCTAGGACCTTAAAATCGGGTACCAATCTCTGCGTCTCGTAACGGCGCACACGCTCGTTTTTTCCGCGACGCGCTAGCTCTACCAGGGGCGAAACGGCGAGGGGGGGGGTCGTACCCGCCCCCCCCCCCCTCGGCCGGCGCGTATGTAGAAAACCAATAGGTCCGGCGAGGGTTATATTTATTAAATATTCAGGACATAGTAAATATTTATTCGAATGTTCTTTTTGTTGCACAGCTGACTTATAAAAGGTGTACTTAAAGAAAATGTAATCGTCAAACTATAAAGCATAATATATAGTTATGCATTCTAAAACTGGGGCATTTGGGGCCAATTTCCCTTCGCAACGCCCGACTTCGATGGAAATTTGTTTTTTTCTAGGAAAGAATAGAAACCAAACAACTTTCACGGAGAAAGTTTGCTGTAAACGGCACAACAGTGTATAAAGAAAAGAAATCCAAGAAGTTTTTGGGAATTTCGATTTTTTAGGGGGGGGGGGGTAATGCCCGTACAGCGTGCGGGACCGCCCTTCTGGATCCACCTAGGCAGATTGTAACTGCAATTCTGCTACATTTTCACGAAGATGAGCGATGGGAGACGGGCCTATTACTGATTCACTTCGAAATCGATATGAGGTCGGATAAGATGATGTTTTAAAATGCATATCCATCCGTCTTCTGTGTTTAATTAAAAATATCGTCTATTCGAAAAAACAGGTTTGCTGTCAGTCAGATTTGCCTTACAAACAAAAACGCAAATAAACATTTGCGCATTCTTTTTCCATTCGTCTCGTCCTGCAAGGGAAGATACCATTCTTTCCTTGAGCTATAATTGAATTATGTTTTTTTCCATAAAATCCTGGTGGCAAAGCAATAATACCTATGAAATCTGAGGCTATGCTGGTGCGCATTGTACTTACGTCGTTTCAAGCTATCAATGACCAGTTGCACTTTGCAATTTGTATTTTTGTATAAATTATGATACACTATTATAGTTTGTTATCAGTGACGGCACTGCGTTAGCCCTTGCCGATCGACAGTTTGTTACACGCGGTACAGTATTGTTTTACAGCTTTAATGGTACGATGAGGCAGCACCGCCAGGTTTTCCTCACACTGGCTCAGAGTAGTGTGCTTTATATATCTGGTATGCCGGGGTTTTGTTGGCGCCATTTTTACATCGATACCGATCTCCACAACTCTATACGACTACAATAAACTTCCTTTAGATCGCATGACGACTATATCCTCTTCGTGGGCCACCTTTCCTCTGCGGTATGTCGAACTTCAGTGCTCGCTCCTGATTACCAGGCTCAAGGCTAAATCAGTGATTTCGCCTGTCATGTGCCACACCTTCTTACACCTTCAATCTGTATGCATCTGTCTTTTTCATGATACTTGATACTCATTTGGTCATGACAACTACCAATTGGTCAAGATAAGAAGGACTAAATGTTAGACAAATAGCACTCGTAACCCTGAATGTTCTCAATTCACCCCATGCAATATGCATCCAAATGTGCAAGCCATTTTCGTGTAAGCCCGGGTGAGTACCTGTACTCTGTAGCTACCTATCATTTGTACAGGTCGATAAAATCAAAACATGCATAGGACATTTTACGGAATACCGCGGAAGATGTTTTACATATATTTGTGTTTTGGTGCTTTTTTTTGCCTTCGCATCCTGATTCGCCGTCACTCAGGTGGGCCCCAAAGCTCAGTAACTAGTCATGACATCTTTACCCGTACTGCAGTCCACTTCAGTTAACCCTCGCATGTGTGCGGCGTTTGCCAGCTTCTAATGTGTAGGGGGGGGGGGTCGGTTGGACCCCCCCCCTTGCCGTTTAGCCCCTGATCGAGCTAGAGCTTCGCGGAAAAAACGAGCGTGTTGCCCGTGACGAGAGGAAGCCGATGATACCCAATTTTCAGGTCCTAGGTCATTGGTTGACCTTCCAGGTCAGGTCAATGACCCAAAGTCGGGAAAATCGGGACCTGTTAGAAAGTCGTAAAGTGTGGCTGCTAAGGGGTTTTTCGGGGTGCTGATCACGAATATCGTGTTAGTTTTGATCACAGATGATGTCTTGAAGCATTTAGACCAGGTCGGGTCAGGTCAGGTCAGGTCATCCAGTAGGCGTCGTGACGGGTATTCGTAATACGTGTCAACCACCTCTGACAGCTTCGTAACATGTTACGAAGTCACCAAAACTACTTCGTAAATGTTCAAATGGTTGCTAAATTCGAATTCAGCTCCAAAAACTAGCCTAGAAACATGTAAAACTCGAAAAAGTGACCCGAGGTCACCCGAGGTCACCAAAGGTCAATGACCTGACCTGACCTTCAGGTGACCTTGACACACACGGGAGTAACATCAAATCACATGTTTGAACGTTTGAAACCACGAAAAGCTTGCAAACACGCGGCTAGTGCCAGCCGACATACGCGAAATCGCGATTCCGGCCAAACATGGTCTCAGAAAAGAGGTCACAGGTCAAAGGTCATTTGGGTCAGGGTCATGAAATTTTCAGGGTAGGTGTAAAATTGATCAATGCGAGGGTACTGAAAGTTTCGTCGCGATCGGCCGCTTTTTACGCGAGTTATTCGCGAAAAACCATGGGGGGGGGTCCATCCGACCCCCCCCCCTACACATGCGAGGGTTAAGATGCGAATGATTAATTTAAGACAGACAACAATGATTATTTTATTAGGCTATTGCATTGGGGCTCACATTTGGATTGCAGTTTAACCCTCGCCGGCCGAGGGGGGGGGGGTGCCGCCCCCCATAGGGTTTTTTTTCGCGATAGCTCCAAAAACGCTGGCGATACAGAGCTAAAACTTGGCACACCTGATCTTTGATTCAAACCGGATCTTTTGACACCAACCGCAATTTTAGGTCAGGTCAGGTCACTGACCTATGACGTCATAAGTGAACCTCTGCACGGTCTTCAGATGTCGCAACTTCGCAACGCCCTCATTGCCAGAGGAGATGTCACAGGGAAGTGAAACTTGCAGAATCAAGTATCCATTATGAGTCTCATAACCCGTATATCTCGGATTTTTCCTAAGGGTCATATGAGGTCAGGTTATTTTCGTGACCTCACCATTATAAGTCAATGGGGAAAAATGAAAACTGCTATTCTGGCGCCGGGAACGATCTCCAACTATCTCAAGCACACAGAATCGTGATTTGATGCACTCCTTGCAAGGTTAGATGCGTCACTTTTGCAATGTTGACCTCGCGTGACGTCATTTATGACGTCATCAAGGTCATACTAGTTTTTCGTCAATAACTCTTGATCAAATTGAGCTAGCGAGTCGGGAAAACCACCAATGCACTCAAGAAGACCTGCCAAATCGAACGCTATGCGACATGACCTCTTTCGACAAACTTCGTGACCTGGGGTTGCTGACCTGACCTTGACCTGAGGGCAACACCCTAAGTTGACCTGACCCGAATAAAAAGCATATCATTCGACGCGCCTGGGCGAGGCGAACACAATGCTGCCAAAATCGCGGCTCTTCGGTCGTTTTTGCGAAGTTATTCACCAAAAACTGAACCGTACCTTGGGGCACTTGACCTGACCTCAGAGGGCACCGGTTGACCTAGGACTTTGAAATCGGGTATCAATCTCTGCGTCTCGTAACGGCGCACACGCTCGTTTTTTTTCTGCGACGCGCTAGCTCCACCAGGGGTGAAACGGCGAGGGGGTCGTACCCGCCCCCCCCCCTCGGCCGGAGCGTATGAAGAAAACCAATAGGTCCGGCGAGGGTTAAATTCCAAATTGTAGATATTCTTTAGAGCCGGCAATCAAACGATGTGAACGTCCTCCTATTTGCATCTGGCTCTGAATGTCCGATGGCATATTAGTTTCAGAAAAGCCATCACCTCGGCCATCCGTACCGAAGGTTTCTTTGCAACCTATCCTGATCGGTTCTGCCATAGGTCAATAACCACTGGAAAACATCTAAGGAAGCCGCTCACTGAGAGCTGAAGCCCCAGTCCATCTTCCAAGTAAAGAGTAGCGTTTCGTAGGCGTAGATAGGATTCACTGAAATTATCAGCATCGACTGACGGGCGGAAAATTGAAGTGTGACATAAACGTATACCCACGTTCATAAAAACATGCTTTCTGTTAACATTGTTTTATTATCCTAATCACATTTTTTGCTCCTGGTATGCGACCTACCTCCAATGTCAACCGCAGGTGACGAAAGACAAACACAGGTCGCCCGGTGAGGCAATATTCGCCCCGGCGCCGGGCGTGACAGGTCACACAGAAATGCTATCTGCGTGACCGTGGTCGTCCCGCCAGTCCAGCTGGTGCCGCGTCCTCCCCTCCCACCTCTACCCCTCCCCCCGTACACGTGATCGGCGCTTGGCCTCTAAGAGTAGACATGCGTTACGCATTGCGTAACAGCCCATGGGTTCGCTCCTCGCCAACAATACTGAGCTGAGGCAATTAAAGTGGTAGGGCCTGCGTTTTAGTGACTGACCTCGATAAAACAGCACATACTTATTGTTTTTGTCGTCGTTGAAAAGTGTTTATTGCCATGCTGCCAGTGGGGACGTTACCTACTTCCTTGCCGTGACAAAAAAGCACGGCACATTTGCGCGCATTACAAAGATACATGGAGGTACTTACAACACGCGCTTGGCATTCATAAATAGTGTGGGAAAACGGGCTCTCTTCTGTTATTGGCTGGGCACATACATAACGTTGACGTTTCCAAGGGCGGCTAAAGCGCATACACTGAGTGCACCGATGATGGTGCTTTGACCACCTTGAAATGATCCTTGAGGTTCCGGCAAACGTCGGGGCAGGTCAGACGGACAGGGGTGTGACACATCGGCGACATTCAGCACTGCGGTAACTTTATAAAATCTTATGGCCAATAGTTGCAATACGAAATGACAGTTAAAATCTAAATCTTTTTGGTATTTTAGACGTTTCGACAACAATGTGCCATCGTCAGTAAATGAGACAAAATATACCTAAAGTCACAAATTACGTTATAAAATAACACCAGTATAACGCCTGTTGTTTTCAATGTGATTTGTGACTGAAGGATATTTTGTCTCATTTACTGACGATGGCACATTGTTGTCGAAACGTCTAAAATACAAACAAGATTTAGAATTAGATTTTAATTATCATTTTGTTTTGCAACTATTGGCCATCAGATTTTATAAACATGTCTACCGATACTGAACAGCTGCGGTAACTAAATTATTGACATTCGCTTGCGCTCTGCACCAAAAGCTCTTAGCGCCATCATAGTTTTTGGTGGCTTCTTAGAAATAGGTAGATTTCTGAGCTTCTTACAGGATAGCATCAAACCCTTTGCGCAGGTATCTGTTTCATATAGGTCAGCCGTCAGGCTATAGATTCGGAGCATCAACCATCAATATATCTCGTTTTTATTATAAATGACGCCATAGCATATGCAGTGATCATCGACCTATGTGTAACGGCCAGCACCTCGACCTGTGAAATATACAACATACAAACCCGATAAGAGAGGGGGGGGTCACTGAAGCCCCCCTAAGAGGAGCACATTATGACCCGCCTCTCCGGAGGGCGCGACAACACGGTGACACCTGTCCACTGTCCAGTCGGGCAGACACAGGGATAAGGTCAAATGGAGGCGCGTTACGCAAAGTCCCGTGTCACAAACCAGTTTGAGACGAAATGTGTGAACACTACTACACCAAAGTCCAAGGCAGTAGCCAGATATAAAGACATCCGAGATGGAATTCAGGGCATCAGTTCTCTTGGAGGCACAGCTCGAGTAGCACACCTTTTACAAACGGTCCGGCATCAGCTATCCAGATATAATCATGAAGGTATGACAAAAATGATTGGATCTTGTAAATTATATTTGCTAGCATTGGATTTCTGGTTTAAACTAAATATGGATAAGGTAAGCTAGGTAGTAGGTAGTAGGGAGCAAACTGATCACAGCTTACAACAACTGTTCCTAACTTTTTTCATGCGCAATGATCGCTTGATTTCTTGCAATGTGAAACTTATAACAGTGTGAGTTTAATTATTTCCTTGCATGACCACATATTCACAAACCCCTTGTACGATAATGTATACAGCACAGTCACATATCGAAATCGGTTGTCCGTTTTCTCAGGTTCTGTTTGTCCTGTTTGCCCTGGTGGCGGCGGCTTCGGCCAGCGATCTGGGCCAGTACGGAGACGAGCAGGAGCACCAGGACGTCGAACACACACCCTACGAGTTCAGCTACGCCGTCAAGGACGACGACACCGTGTTCTCTCAGAGCGAGCAGGGCGACGAGGAGGGTGACGTGGAGGGCGAGTACGCCGTCAACCTGCCCGACGGCCGTGTGCAGACGGTCCGCTACTCGGCCGGCGACGAGACCGGCTACACGGCCGAGGTCAGCTACGAGGGCGAGGCCCAGTACCCCGAGCAGGACTCCTACGAGCAGGAGGAGGAGCAGGAGCAGGAGCAGGAGGAGGAGCAGGAGCAGGAGGAGGAGGGAGAGGAAGAGGAGCTGATTCCTATCTATGCCTACCGGCCCGTGTACAACTAGTCACAATACTTGTGTGTCGTAAAGTGCTTGTTAACTCTGTTTTACATATTGATCAAAATATAGTCTTGAATGTCTTATCTGTAATGCGCTTCTGAGCAGTGGTTACGTTATGTCTGCCGACCGGACCGACTTCACGGAACTAGTAATCACCGCCTCATAATCAGTTCCTAATGGGAAACATATTGGAGTTGACCAAAAGTACTTGCTTGTTATGCCTCCTATCCTGCTAACACAAAAACTTATTGAGCCGCCTTTAATGACAACCTAAATTGGGTCTTGCGCATCATTCATTTTAGGAAAGCATGAATCCTCGCCGAACCTATTGGTTTTCTACATACGCGCCGGCCGAGGAGAGGGGGGGGGGGTACATACGACCCCTCTCGCCGTCTCACCCCTGATGGAGCTAGAGCCTCGTGGAAAAAAAAAAACGGGCGTGTGCGCCGTTGCGAGACTCAGCGATTGGTACCTGACTTTAAGGTCTCAGATCAACCATGACCTCTGAGGTCAGGTCAAGGGGCCCAAGGTACGGGTTCGGTTTTTGATAAATAACTTCGCAAAAACGGCCGCAGAGCCGCCATTTTGGCATCAGCGTGTTCGCCTCGCTGAGGCGCGTCGAATGGTATACTTTTTGTTCTGGTTAGGTCAACTTTAAGTGTTGACCTCGGGTCATGGTCAGGTCAGAGCCCCCAGGTCGCAAAGTTGGTCGAAGGAGGTCATATCGCATATCATGCGATTCGGCAGGTCTTCCTGAGTCCATTAGTGGCCTTCCCGACTCGCTAGCTCAATTTGATCGGGAGTTATTGAAGAAAACTCTTATGACCTTAGTGACATCATCAATGACGTCATATTCAAACGTGAAGCATCTAACCTTGCAAGGAGTGCATTCAGGCTTCCGTGTGCTTGAGGTAGTTTGAGATCGTTCCCATCGCCAAAATAGCAGTTTTCATTTTCCCCGTTGACTTATAATGGTCATGTCACGTGACCGACCTGACTGCATGTGACCTTTAGCCCGCGACCGCTTGGGGGGGGGGGGGTCGGATCCGAACCCCCCCCCTCCGTTTTTCTTGAATAACTCATGAACCACTTTCGCTATCTACTTGAAACTTGGCATACCTTCTCCCCCATCAATTTGACGTCTCCTGTGCAATTTTTAAGAAAAAAAATCATTTTTTTTTTTAGATATATCGATTTTAGTGATGTAACTGAATGGCGTTTTTAGTCAAAAAGTGGTAAATGTTTAAAAAATCGCCAAAACTCAGGGTTTGAAGCAAATTGCAAATTAAGGACATGAAAAGACGCAGCTCAACGAGTTATTTAAAATGGCTATCTCGGATTTTCCATAATATGCGTTTTTCACCCCTAAAAATTCAAAAAAGTATATTTTTTTGAAAACAGCTAATAAAATCCAAAATTACGGGAATTTAAAAAAAAAAACGGAATAAATGTTGTAGAGCTCTATTAGAACATTAGATGCCCCAAATTTCAACTTTCTATCTTGATTTTTTACCCCCAAATTGTAAGAAATAGCTCCAACATGCATGGGCATGGTGACGTCATAAGCATTTTCGTGAATTAGAGGCACTTCTGAACATCGCATGTGAAAACAAATGGCACCGCTAGATTCCTGGGACAAAGTTCGTCTAGAAAAGTGCATTTTTATGTCAAAAATAAAAAGTTGAAAAATTGACTTTTTTTCTTAGCCCTCGTTTAGTTATGTACCTATAGTATAAACGATTTTTTATGCTTTCAATGCGCACTTATCACCAGCACAGTGACTTGGGGTCACATATAACCATTACCATCGGATTCGGCGTGAAAAATAAGCCATAAAACATGTGTCGCACGCCCATGTAGCAGAAAGTGAAAACCGTGACCTTTCGTGACCTGACCTGACCTTGACCCGTGCTTAGTATGACCCCTATACGCACATGGTACCTTCACTAGGCCTTTGAGGTCATTTTTGGTGAGTTTCGAGCAGCAGCTATCGATTCCGCTGTCCGTAAGCCGATTCATGCAAAACCCCTGAATTTGACCTTTGACCTGACCTTGACCCGAAAGTTGACCTCAATCTTAAAATCTTAAGAGTGCTTTGGGAAGGTCTCGTAGAGACCTTTCGAACGCCGCCTCGCGGGGCTCGATACGACCATTGGTTCTCGAGATAACAGGGGGGTCGGATCCGACCCCCCCCCCCCCCCCAGGCTGTCGTGGGTACGGAAATAGCCCAGGCGGTGCCGGGTTAGAAAAAAATCCGAGATATACAAATTGTGAGACCTCTGGAGGATACAACGTCCTGCAAGTTTCATCTTCCCGTGAAAGTTCCTCTGGCACTGCCAAGGGCGTTGCAAAATTGTGACATCTGAGGACTGTGCAGAGGTTACTTATGACGCAACCTGACCAGTGACGGTCAGTGACCTGACCTGACCTGAAAATGTTCTGGTGTCACAAGATCAGGCTTGAATCAAAGGTCAGATATGCCAAATTTCAGTTCTCTATTGCCGGCGTGTTCGGAGCCATCGCGAAAAAAAAATCCTACGGGGGGGGGGGGGGAGGGCGGCACCCCCTCGGCGGTGAGAGTAAAGTGCCTTTCGTCAAGAAATACGCACTTACTTTACCACTCTGCATCGACACTGCAGTCGGAGTAAGCTGATTGAGACGCATTGTTGGTTACGTAACACCACTTTTTGAGTAGTTTTTTCCTTGACAAAGCCTCCATGAGTGACCTGCCGCTTCTTATAGTGCCCCTAAATCTCCTTCATGCATAAGAAAGCATGTCGTTAGTGGGATACTTTGGACTTTGATGGGCTAGAGCGGTGTCTTAGCTTAGCTGCGATTGCACTTTTCGTTTCCTGTAAAGGTTCATCGAACGAAAATATAACAAAGCTCTGTAAAAAAACAGTACGTAAACAAAAGTCATCTTCAGGTAGTCCAAATCAAATGGATTGGGTCCCGTTGAATACCCCATAGCCAGCACCAGCCATCGGAGTTATCGTTGTTGATTCAGATCCTTGCTGAAAGGATAATATTTTCTGTCTATAGGATCACCTATTAGTCTAGATCATAAAAAGCGTGCTGGTCTTTAAAAAGCGCAGCAAATGATACTTATTTGTTAGGACCCAGGTTATGGTCAGCTCGCAATCGGCCGAGTCAGGAAGCTGGACGAAGGAGTTGTGCATGTTGCATTCGATTTCACATTTGAATGTTCGGTTCTGCAGCTCATTCTGAGTTTATTAATGACAATCGTCCAGACCCGCTAACTCATTTTGGTCGAGAGTTGTTGACAACAAATTCCAATGACATGGAATTACCTTCGTGGCATCAATAAAGACATCAATATGTAAATGTCCGAAACGCACAAGTGTCTTCGAATGTGATACTGCACTGCAGAGAAAAGGAGAAACAATCATGTGAGTTGGCACCAACGCCTTACTATTAGCCACGAAGAGCTGAGAGATGCAATGCCTCTCCATGCGAGGATAGTCCTCGACGCACCAGACGAACAGCTCTCACCATCACCCACGCTGCCTCGACTCACAAACTCCTTCACAGGCGGCGAGACCAGCGCCCCCTGCCACGGCGCAACTGTGTGAGAGCGAGAGGTCGGCCCTCTAGCACAAAGCCGGCCCCGAGTCCCGACCGACAGGTCACCATAGGAGTCAGGGTAGTGACTGTATTCTTTATCCCGCGCGGGGCTGGGGTCTCCAGCCGAACGCGCGGGGCTGGGGGGGGGGGTAAATTTTACCCCCCTGTTATCTCCCGAACTAATGGTCCGATTTGGAAAATTCAAACGCCAATCGAAAGCTCTCATCACGAACTACTAAAAACATGTACTTTATTTAAAGTTTGAGGTCAAGGTCAAGGTCAGGTCAAGGGTACAAATTGCAAGTTTCTACAGTATCGGCCTTGCACCGTAGTTGCCGAAGAATGGAGTCATGGGCTGAGACTGATCGCCCAAAACGTGTTCTTAGGCTACCAAGACAATATTCGTTGCATACAATATCATTCAGAGGTCAAGGTCAAGGTCAGGTCAGGTCAGGTCAGGTCACCAAAAAACAAAATATAGAAAAGGGCATGTGCGACACATGTTTTATGGGTCATTTTACTCATAGAATTCAATAGGCACACTCAATAAGTGATATGGACCACCTCTGGATGAATTTCAGGTCGAGGTCAGGTCAAGGTCAGGTCAAGTGAGGTCAAATTTTGAAGTTGGTTGTTAAGGCCTAAAAAGGTGTCTATCTGATGCAGTTTTTCACGGCGAATCGAATGGTGCTATTTTTGTTTCCGTACGAGGTCTAGAACTTCCAAAAAAGTCATTTTTCAAAAATTTTGTGTGTCGTGACGTCATAAAATTTTGAATAACTCCCACATTTTTGAACCGATTCTTCTAAAATTTGGTATGTAGGTGCACATAGACCACTTCTCTGACATATATTCCGGTTTTTTCGATAGACTCAAAATTTTGGATTTTATAATGATTTTCCCAAAAAAAGTCAGTTTTTTTGAAAAAATTTAGGCCAAAATCCAAAATTGTCAAAAAACCGAGATAACCATTTTATAGACAAAGTAAAATTACGTATAACCTTTTTTGTTACGTCTTGATTCCATTAAAAATGAAGATGTTAGCGGCGTTTGAACTTTTGCCGTTTTTGAGGCGAAAATGGCGAACATGACGTCACTAAAACGTCAATTTCTCAAAAATTTTCCGACGGATTTCGCTCAAATTTTCAGGGAACGTGTCAAATTGATGTAAGAAAAGGTACTGAAAGTTTGGCAGCGCTGTGCGCCGCCGTTTTTGAGATATCGCAAAAATTCGCGAGGGGGGTAAAATTTACCCCCCCCAGCCCCGCGTGGGTTATGGGTGGTTCGGACAGTCAAGCCTCACAGCTCAGTGAGTGATGAAGGCTCGTGGACATTGAAAACGACGAAGTTTTATGGACTCCAAACCTGTCAATTACTGCATGTCAATTCGAATCACCTTTACAAAAGCATGCAGCCCCGAAAGTTAAATATCTCTCATGGATCTGAAGAACGATAGGCATGTAGAAATATCTAAAATTTACCAACTATATGTATAACTATCTTGTCTTGCTATCCATGCCGGTTACAATATTATATCGCGATGGCTGTGCCTGCTGACGCACCTCCCAATGCCTGCCACCTGACTCCGCTTCTGCACCGCGCGGTGACCCGTAAAACGCCTGAGGCCGGGACCGCCCGGGTCACGCTCGCTGAATGTATTCCCTGGCTGGCAGAGGTCGCTGCAGGGTCGTGTGCGTGAGTCTCCAGGCCGGTAATATCAATATTGTCAGAGTTTGGAGCTACACATTACCCAGCCAGCATTATTTACAGGTGGGTCCTATTCGCCATGCCTCCGTTTTGTGCCGCCTTGGCTTTTGCAACTTTCTTACATACACTCAGGTGCTACCTTCGAATTGTTGAAGTTGCAGACATCGCTTGATTATATGTAGGGTTCGGTCAGAATTAATTGTGTATCACTGAAAAAAGTTTTTACCATCAATTTACTAAGTTACTAGCTTTGGTAAATTTTACCATCAGCCTACCATCATATTACTACCAGCCTACTATGGTGCTGAATACTATCCTGCCTTGACATGTTGATATTACCATGGTTACGTTTATCAGGGGTGGTTTTGTACCCCAGTTTACAAGGTGGTAACCACCTGAGGCTAGTAGATACCCTCGTAAGCTAATATTCCCTACCATAGTAAAATCAACCTTTCCACGGGCGGATCCAGCAGGTGAATTCGGCGATCAAGTCTCCTCCTTTCCATAGAGGTGTTTGCCAATTTTTGATATGTTGGAAGGAGCGTCATCCAAGGACTAGCTGAGACCCTGAGCAATTAATAGTTTTATGGACGAAAGGCCAGAAATTTCTTGCAACAGTTCCCTGGGTGTGCTTCTGCTGCTATGGTAAGGTATACCATGGCAACACCATGACAACACTACACCCTTACTAACAATCCACGTGCGTCTGACTCTGCAGCTGCAGCGGCGCCGCCATGTCAGTTCCGGCCGCGCGCCGGCGTTGTGAAGGTGCTCCGTGGTTTTAAATATTTGAACGGTGATTGTGTGGGTGGTTAGCGTAGCTGACGGTGGAGGATACTCGGAAATAACAAGTAAGTCGTTGTATCTTCAGCATAATAATACTTATCTCACGAGTGCCATTTCCAGCAAAGATCGCAGCCTTTGTTTCGGTTCATGTTGTTGAATTTCCTTGAGACCCTGTTGGACCGGGTAGGGGGAGGGTGGTGGGGTGGGTATCATTGCGGGCATTTCCCAGCGTCGGAAATCAACGTGTTTTTTTATTTGTTAACCCACGCCTCACTGGGGTATGTGCTCTAACGCGCCCCACAGCACGTTACAGCACGTTACAGTGGGGGGGGGGGGGGCTCCTAACTCCGAAACTACTGGGCCGATTGTCAAAATTCAAACGGCCCCTGGTAGCCCTGGAAATATTGTTGAGCGAAGCCTAATGTCATTGACCTCGAGGTCATCGATGACGTCACAGGTCAGGTCAAAGTAAAAATATCAGCGTCTTGGCACTCTGGGCGCCGGCCAACAAATCAGATCAGGCTCATTTTTTGTTTGCACACTCGTGAATATATGCGTAACATAACCTGAGGGTACCGAACTTGTACTTCGAATTTTTCAGGTCAAGGCCATCTCATCCCAGGTCACGAAAGCTTTATATCGTGCATCGGTGACGTGAGACATGTTTTATGGTTCATGTAGGCCATATATATCGAAATCAGTGTTGTATGTGTCAGTTTAGGCCATTTTAGCTGAATATAGCTGAGGTCAGGTCAGGTCACTTTAGGTCAAAAATGGTCAAATTTTGAAGTTGACATTTTTCAACAAAAAAGGTGTTTGTCAGATGAAGTTCACATATATTCAACGCATATGTGTTCAAACACATATAGACCCCGTTTCCATGGGCATCACTGATCCGGATCAGCAAACTTAAATCGTATTATATTTCTCGAACTCTTCGTTACATGATATAATTCCAAGTGGATTAGGCTTATATAATCAGTTAATCCCTTATTTTCATTTTCATATATTGTCTAACTATACTGGATTAGCTAATCCATTTTTACTGATCCGGATCAGTGATGCCCATGGAAACGTGGTCATATTCTGCTTTTTTTCATTCAGAAACGTATATGTAAAAAAATAAAAAATACAATTTCTGAGTTTTTATATTTATAATTTTCAAAATATTCAACATTTCGAAAGTCCGAAATCAGTTTGGTAGCCCTGTAGAGTCCACCCATGCAAAAAAGGATCTAGCTTAACCCTCAAGGCGGTGGGGGGGGGGGGGGCATTTTTTGCATCCATCTTTAGTTTTTTTTCGATATATCTCCAGAACCGCTGCGCCGATCTTCACCAAACTTTCAGTACCCTTTTGCACATTGTGACCAAATTTTTTTTCCAAAGGCTATGATAAGTTGGCCGCTACGTCGGAGTGACGTCATTTCTGCCATTGTCGACCAAAAAAAAAGCTTCGCGGGAAGAGCTGTCAGGTCTATAAATTTGATTATGCATAAAAATGTTCAAGACATGAAATGTGTAGAATTACCAGGGCTACTATACTGTTCTCTCGATTTTGTTTTTGAAGTTGACCCCAAAAATAAAAAGAAATAGATATAATAGCCAAAAAATCCCAAAAGTTTTTCGATTTTCGAAACAAACGGAATATATGTAATAGCCACTATGGACTTCTATTCACATTCCAAGTATTAGATCGATAACTCCTTTTTGCCAAGTTATAACAAAAAAAAAACTGTTCAAAATTAATGACGTCAAATTTTCAAACTCGATTTTGGCAATTCTAGACCACAAAGCGCAAAACAAAGACCACCATTAGACTCGCCGTGACGAGTGGCATCGAATCAATACCAATTTTATGCGAAACTATCAACTTTGACCTGAAATTTGACCTTTTTGACCTGACATTGACCTGACCTCCACCAGAAAGTGACCAAAAAAACCGTCCCTGATGGTCTTATAACCAACACCATTGAGGCGAATATGAAACATTGGCCATAAAACATGCATCGCACAACCCTACTTAGTAAAGATAGGTTCATGTGCTGACCCTTGGTGATCGGACCTGGTATTATCAGTGACCTCCAATAGCAAAACTGTTCAAAATTAATGACGTCAAATTTTCAAACTCGATTTTGGCAATTCTAGACCACAAAGCGCAAAACAAAGACCACCATTAGACTCGCCGTGACGAGTGGCATCGAATCAATACCAATTTTATGCGAAACTATCAACTTTGACCTGAAATTTGACCTTTTTGACCTGACATTGACCTGACCTCCACCAGAAAGTGACCAAAAAACCGTCCCTGATGGTCTTATAACCAACACCATTGAGGCGAATATGAAAAATTGGCCATAAAACATGCATCGCACAACCCTACTTAGTAAAGATAGGTTCATGTGCTGACCCTTGGTGATCGGACCTGGTATTATCAGTGACCTCCAATAGCAACATATGCTCGTATAATAGGCAACTCACGCCCTATCGCTGATTTTTGACAAAATGCCCTTTACTCGATGTTGCAGCGCATTCCTTAAAAGACCCGTGAACGGTGAAACATTTTATCTTTGACTTGGCCTGTGATGTCATCGGTGACCCCGAGGTCAATGAAATTGAAGTTCCCTCGACAAATTTAACAAGGCTATCGAACGCCATTTAAATTTTACCGATCCGTCATAGTAGCTTCGGAGATTCGGGGGGGGGGGGGGTCAAAAATCCCCCCCTCCCACCGCGCGGAAGGTAGCCGGGAGGCCCACCGCTTGCCGGGTTAAAACTCAGATCTTGAGAGCGATTACCGTTGTTCAATGCTTTGCATCAAAATCGGCCGAACATGATGTCACTCTGGCGTCATTTCCGGCCGATCTATAGTAGCTACGAAAATTTTATTAGTGCACAAGGTGTCAAATAAATTGATGCAGCCGAAGGTCCTAAAAGCTTTGTTTTGATACGTCCAGCGGTTTTAAAGATATTGCGTAAACACGAGAGGGGCTATGAATAGCCCTCCCCACAGTAGGGTGGGGGTTAACCCTCGCCCGTATTGGTGTTTTTCCAGCCACGAACGTTTAAGGGGGGGTCCGTTGAACCCCCTCCTTGCCGTTTCGCCCCTGATTGAGCTAGAGCTTCGCGGAAAAAAACGAGCGTGCTGCCCGTGACGAGAGAAAGCCGATGGTACCCAATTTTATCCTAGGTCGTCGGTCCTAGGTCATCGGTTGACCTTCCAGGTCAGGTCAATGACCCAAAAGTGGGGAAAACTGGGACCTGTTAGAACGTCGTAAAACGTGGCTGCTATTGGGTTTTTTAGGGAACTGATCACGAATATCATGTTAGCTATGATCATAGATGATGTCTTCATGCATTTAGGCCAGGTCGGGTCAGGTCAGGTCAGGTCAACCAGTAAGGGTTTTGCCGGGTATTCGTAGTAGGTGCACTAGGTGGCAACCGCCTCTGACAGCTTCGTAACATGTTACGAAGGCACCAAAACTACTTCGGAAATGTTCATATATGGTTGTTAAATTCGAAATCAGCTAAAAAAACTAGCCTAGAAAGATGCTGATAAAACTCGAAAAAGTAAACCGAGGTCATCAAAGGTCAATGAACTGACCTGACCTTCTGGTGACCTTGACATCCACCCTAATGCATGGGAGCAGCATCATATCCCATGTTTGAACGCTTGAAACCACGAAAGGACTGCAAACGCGCGGCAAATGCGAGCCGACATACGGTTGGTTGGCCTTCCAGGTCAGGTCAATCTCCAAAAAGTCGGGAAAATCGGAACCTGTTAGAATGTCGGTAAGTGTGGCTGCTACCTATGGGTTTTTTCCGGGTGCTGATCACGAATATCATGTTAGTTTTGATCACAGATGATGTCTTCATGCATTTAGGCCAGGTCAGATCAGGTCAGGTCAGGTCAACCAGTAGGGGTCCTGCCGAGTATTCGTAGTACCTAGGTGTCAACCGCCTCAGACAGCGTCGTAACATGTTACGAAGACACCAAAACTACTTCGCAAAAGTTCATATGGTTACTAAATTCGAATTCAGCTCCAAAAGCTAGCCTGGAAGCATGTAAAACTCGAAAAAGTGAACCGAGGTCATCAAAGTTCAATGACCTGACCTGACCTTCAGGTGACCTTGACACCCACCCCTATTCATGGGGGCAACATCATATTACATTTTGAACGCTTGAAACCACGAAAAACTGCAAACACACGGCTAATTCGAGCCGACATACGCCGAATCGCGATTACAGCCAAACATGGTCTCGAAAAGTAGGTCACAGGTCAAAGGTCATTAGTCAGGGCCATTACATTTTTTAGGGTAGGTGTAAAATTGATTATAACTCGAGGGTACTGAAAGCTTCGTTGCGGTCGGCCGCTTTTTACGCGAGGTATTCGCGAAAAACCGAGGGGGAGTCCGTTCGACCCCCCCCCCTATACGGGGGAGGGTTAACAAGCCAAAACGTTGCTAATTTTTATTTTGATCTGACCTGTGACGTCAACGGTGATCTCGAGGTCAATAAAATTAGGTTTTGCTCGACAGTTTTTCCAGGGCTATCAGACGCCGTTTCAGTTTTGACAATCGGCCCAGTAGTTTCGGAGTTGGAGCGGGGGGGGGGGTTCTATAAATAGCCCCCGCCTCCCCCAGTGGAGTGCGTTACAGAACATACCCCAGTGGGGCGCTGGTTAAGAGTAGAATTTTTGAATTATTGCCAACACTCAACACTGCACCTCATGGCAATTAATTCATTATAGGGCATTTTACCTGAACCAGCCTCTGGCCTAATGTCCCAAATTTGCTAAATTCCTCACCCTACAAATCCCCTGTTCTATTAGATGCTGCCATTTTTTTAAAACAACTTATCTTAAATCCTTGTTTCATCAAACTGGGAGCTAGGTCACGGGACACTGCGAGTCAAGGTGGGAGGGGTAGGAGATAGAGTGTCACTGCAGCACACACAATCAATCTTTCCATTGGTTTATCTTATATCAATGCCTGCATGCTCTTTTCCAGAGCTGGCTTTCGAAGTTCGAACCTTCGGTATATGGCTACCAATGCCCTTGGAGAAGGTGTTGCGTGATAAATCGCTGGAAGGGCGACATTCAACGATTGTGTGAAAAGAGACCGATTGCATTGTGATGATAAAGTGAACTGTAATAATTGTTGTTCATGCGCGTTGTTTGGTTATGTGCAGACGTAACTTTGTTTGTGGCCAAATGCTTTTTATGTGTGAAATATTTCATGTAGGTTACTAGGTAGATGCTTTGGAAAAGTGAAGAGCTGCTTTGTCGACTGCTAGGTAGATACTGTCATGCATGCTGTTGTGCATCAGTAAGTGGCTGTCGTAATGATAAACAAATTTGGCATGGATAGGCTAAAGCACAGCATATGAAGCATGCTGGTTGATGACTAGTAAGATCCTGTTAACCGACTGGTAATATCACAATAAATGTCACATAGTAAACTATTGTTTTACGATGGTTGGCCAGCAAAGCAAAGCTGGTATCCAGATGACAAAAGGATGGTTTTACCATGATAAGTCATTAGTAAGCATTACCAGGGAGTAGCTAACGATAGTAAAGTCCTAGTTTCGTGCTAGTATCACGTGGGTTTTTGGGCATGGTATGACGACATATAGTTACCGTGTTAATACCATGGTAATTTTTACTGGCATTGGTATTCACATGGTTTTACATTCATATTAGGCCTAGTATTTGGGTCGTAAGTTAGTTTACCATAGGTAAGAGGCTGTTCAAAATATGACCACCACTCGAAAACTAACTAGGGTGGTATTTTTCTTAGTAGGCGGTACCAGGATAATACTAGCGTTAGTAGAGCTTTGGTTTCTTATTAGTTATGCTTTAGTTTCAAGGTAGTATGATGAAAAAATATTACCGTACTAAGACCATGGTATTTTGATGAGCATTGGTAGTTGCATAGTATTCCTTTGATATTGGGCCTAGTATTTGGATCGTAAACTGGTTTACCATAAGTAAAAGGCTGTTCAAAATATGACCACCACCCAAAAACTAACTAGGGTGGTATTTTTTTCTTTCAGTGATGACCAATAGGTACCATGAGCAATACCATGAGCAACAAAATAGCTATCTTCGATTTTTGATTATAGTTCCACATTTTACAAAACCTTGAACTGAATCATGGCTATTTCTTGGGACTACTTTACGAACATCATGCATGCATTTCTTTAATCGATCTTTTAGTTCGACGAAACAGGTACTCGTATATTACATAAATGTCATCATCGTGCTAAACGCCTAAAAGTACCCATTAAAATATGCTATATGCTGCGAATGTTAATTTTGATTTTCAGGGACATCTTCTTTCCGGATTGACCTGACCTTGACCCTGACTTCATTGACCCTTACATGGATCTAACGCAAATGTAGCAATTATATGAAGGCCATTTTGCACAATCTTGACAGAGTTTATGACGAGAGACGCCCAGTGCGAGGTGCTGAAGTATATGGTACTGAAAGCCCAATTTCAGGTGTTTGACCAGTCCCGGACCCGAGTTGTGACCTCAAAACTCAACTTTCAAGCACTCATTCGAAGCGTCTCGTCGCGTTCTTTCGTTTGCTGCCTAGCACCCATCGGCTCTCGGGGTATCGGCTGGGGGCGTTTAACGAGTTAATTGGCAGCACGGAATAAGGAAGTGAAGAATGGAAATGGTCCTGAGGATGAGCCGAATTGGATGCTACCTAAATCCTTTGTGTCTTGTCCAGAGATAATTTCTAGAGATAATTGGATGATTAATTAATGACTTGATAGTGGGATGAAAGCTAGAATGCTTTCTTGAAGTGACTATTTGGACTACTGTGAGATGTTTTGGGCGCATACGTTGTTGAAATATGCATCCGTGTAGGTTTATCATTCAGTCTATACTGTTAGGTTTATCCTTACTCTCATTCTCTAAGAGCCTGTAAATTCACTAGCCCAGATTCCCCACTTCTAGCCCATGTAGGCCCCATTTGGGATGGCTGGCTGGGATAGCCTCACCTTCAAGACTTCTCTAATTGTGCGCATATGCGCCGTGACATGATGGCATAATCACCAAATCAGTCGAAGGACAATATCATAAGTTAATCAAAACTCGTAGACGGAGGGACAGAGACACACCCCCAAGCCGCGCCTTCCATTGTCCCCAATCCTCCCCCCGTGGGTCATGTCTCAAGGTTACGGACACCGGACAAGATGCACTTCCTAGAGCGGGCGGGAGGTAACCCAATTCTGGGAAATTTATCACCGGACTGGCGTTGACCTTCCTGAGCCTATAGCTCTGTCTGGGGAGACTATGGCGCCGGCGCTACGCCGGTCATATAGTTATGCCCTTACGCAAAGTTATGTGTGAAAAGCTGAAGCAGTTAGTGAATTAAGAGTTACAATTCGCAGAACGGGAAGAATTACGCCTTCTCATATTTTTCGTAGTTAACTCAAAAACCATCTTGGTGCTTGAAGCTTTTAGAAATTTCTGAGTTTTGCAGTCACGTAGCATTGTTTTACAACAGTGTCTTGATGTGCTAGGCGTAGTATGTGTGGTATTTTCTGATGTATTGATGCTTGCAACAGTTCTTGTATTTGAATGCATAAAAAAATGCGGAGAGGTGATTCCAGGTATTTGATTTAATTGCAAAGGGCGTTTGCTTTTACTGTTTAGTGATGTCAGTTACATAATTCGAATTACCGAAGCCAAACCAAATACCAACCAAAACCATGGGAAAATACCGAAATCGAACCAACTTGGGAATATGAGGGAAATACCAACTTTTTGCCAATGTCACAGCCTCTTACACGTTAGTGAGGTAGCAATAGCAACAAAATACCAAACAAATTAGGATTGAAATACCAAATACCAACTCGGTATCAGCATAAAGCTGGTATCCGACTGACATCTCTAGTTGTGTTCAAGCGTGGACGCATAATAAAAGATATCGTTTAAAAATTCAATGTTTACTATTTAGTATTTACACTTGTTGCATAAATGTCACCATGATTCAGGCACATTTACAGCTTCACATTATTATTACGTAGCTAGCAGTTACTACACATACAACCTCTGCCTTCAATTTCACGAAAGACAATTGTATGACTATCGTGGACGTATTTAGATCGATTAGTTTACAATTCATTGAATCAGCATAATGAACAGTCGGACCGCATGGGAATCTCGGGAACAATGGGAGCAGTCCTTGGCAGAGGGTCGGCCGACGGTCGCCAGATGGAGTGACCCTCTGTCCCAGACAGAGTAACGACGGCTGATGTAACTCCCCCGATTTTAATCAGCGCGCTGTGCTACCCCGCCCGCCCCCGGCCGTCGGCAGGACAGTCTGCATCCCGGTATTTGGCCAAGGCTCTCCGAGACCAGCCGGAGGGTACTTATAGAGAACTCTGATAGAGCATGGTGGCAGTATACATCGGACTGCGGAGGGGATACACCAACTGAGAAACATGAAGGTAGGCAATTCTGTGCCATTCTTACAATATCACTCCACATAATCAAACAATTTTAGTGATCGTAATTGAGTGCAATTGCGCATTTATTTATGGAATAAAAATAAGATTTTTTGATGAAACTGAATCGCAAACATGAGTGTTTGTTTATCTAGTTTTACAATTAGAATACTGAAAAATCGTTCAAATACGATCAGGCTATCACCACTCGAGCCTAACAAAATATGAACCATTTACATATCCGTTGGAGCTGCGCGTTGTTTATCATAAAGTGCGACAAGAGGTAGTATTTCTCCACGCCTCACTGCCGCCCGCGGTGTGTCCCACAGCCGTTCCTGTTGCTGGTCGTGTTGCTAGTCGTCGCTTGTCTCTTCACTGTCGTCTCTGCCGGCACCAGAGCGCTGCACGTCCGACCGAGGGACAACGCCGAGCGCTACAAAACCCACAGCTTCGCCTACGGCGTGAGCCACGGCGCCACCCACTTCCAACAGGAGCAGAGGGGCAACGAGGAGGGTGACCAGGAGGGCACCTACCGCGTGGCGCTGCCGGACGGACGCGTGCAGACGGTGCGGTACCTGGCAGATCACGAGGATGGCTTCAAGGCCGAGGTGACGTTCGAGGGCGAGGCAAAGTACCCTCCCCCTTCCCACTACGGTGAACAGATCAGTGACTCCGATGGCGAGTCAGACTCTGATGATGACTCGGACTCGGACTCCGATGAGTCGGGTGATGACTCGGCTGATAGCTCTGATGATGACTCTGATGATGACTCTGAGGACGACTCTGAGGACGAAGCTGGCGAAGCAGACCCTAATGAAGTCAGTGGATTTGCCGGTCGTCTTTCGAAAACACCCCGATACGGCTACGTTCCTGTCTATGCCTACCGTCCGATCGGTAGCAAGCGAACCCCTGGCTATTCGAGGAAGCAGAGCTATGGAAACAAGTAGACATTTTAGCCGGTTTTATCATTGTGTGCACGGTGTCTACTGCCATCTTCACAGTATCTGCGAGTTGTATCGTCAGTGGTGTTTTGTGTCGCATGGCTCAGGTGTGATCGCTTAATCTGTGTGTCACAGCAATATTTTATTTTTTATTATTTAAATGCATTTGTATGTCACATTTACTGTCAAATACACGATTCTCATAAAATTTCTACCTCCAAAAGTTTCGAGTAGCATGGTGTATTACTCATTACCTGTTCAGAGCCGACCAGTGCACCTTATTTCTTTATTACACTGGGTTGCATATCATTGGTTTATTTATTATGTAGCGTTTTTCCTTTCAATGGACATATGAAACTATATCGTTTTATATGTATTGCGAAATATTTCATTATTATGAAAGGGTTTAGTTTTCACCCGCTCCTAGTGGAAGCGTGTAAACTAAGTGACCTCCGAGACAGGTACCTCATTCTGTCATGGCTGCATTTTATTGTCTCAAAAGCGTTTCCAATATTTGTCGATTGATTGTGATGCAAAACTCTGGAATTCATGTGCTTACTGGATATGATGAGCTCACTCGTCCTAAACACGACTAACACAAACACTGATTTCGGTGCTATCTGTTAAATCCAATTTTCAAATTCTTATATCGGTGCATTTGATTCAAAAGATTCTGACCAAACCATCATGCCTGGATCGCTCATAAAACTGGTTATCGGAACCACCTCCATAATGGGATGTAAAAACGATTCCAATTAATGATTTTCAGGACGAAAAGCTGACGTAACTCACGGATATGATTAAATCTAGTTCAAAACCAGATGGAGGCGACATGCCGCGTTTTTTTTTGCGGCATGTCGGCCTGGAAATGATGCCCAACTTTGGGCGGCGATTCCACGTTCTGAACTTCTGCCAATTTGTTAGATATGCTGCTGCTGTGCCTGCTGACCAGAAAATCGTCGAGAAATCAGTGATCAGATCTCGTCTCCACAGAAGGCAGGGGACAAACGTCGTTGATTTAATTAGTCCTGTTTCAGACTGACAATCTTAAGAACGGCTTAGGTAAAACATTCAATGACTCAATCTCGCATCGTTGACCGTGTAATGTTGGCATTGAAATGAAGAGTGCTTTGTAATAGATCTACCATTTAAAGCTGAAATTCCAGAACGTCAGTACATTGTTAACACCATATTGACACTGCAAGCATTGCGATTGCTTTGAGCCAAATCCTGGTCAGTTCTGGCCGTGCCAGTTCGCAAAGGATGTCTGCGGCCGGTGGATAGGGTGTCGGTGACGACGCTCAGGGTCATCCGGCCCGCCCCTGGCTCCTCCTGTGGGGGTCGGTCGGTACACCCGTCCCCGCCATCCTGCCCTGTCCCAAATACCCGCACCGCCCTCCGCGCACGGAGGGGGGGGGAGGGGGTGACGTGGATTTCCTAGAATGTCGCCCAATCCTCACCGGGATGAGACGGATACACTTATCGGATGGAACATCTACGCTGGAGCTACGGAGATCACTCTGTGAAAACAAATAAGGACCACGGGTTGAGGTGTTAACTGAAACCCTGCTCTGCCTCATATAATGTTTGATATTGGTTTACATGATATGATCTATAAAAATGAACAACTTTTTCGATAGCTTGTCAGGGCGTCTGTTAGAGGTCGGGGGTAATTGGCCCGGGCAATTGGCTGGGTCAGGATTAATGTTGTCTCCCAAATCTACCAAAACTATAAAACTGGGGGCAATTAAATAATTGACCTTGCCGCGCCTGTGGTTGCCGTGGACCACAAAATGACCAAACGCTCATTTATGAGTTGACAGTCCACTCTTCGGAAGCATTTTGCTCGTATATTAGAGCGCCACGCAACAGGCAACGTTGCGGAGTGAATGAAAATAATTCCAAAAGAACTCTGTGGTTCCTATTCGGGTCGTATAAGTGTTGACACTATCATACCAGCCAATTTACGTTCGGAATATGACGCTTCAATGACCATATCATATAGCTGAGGGTTTTTTTCTCGACTTATCTTTTTCTTGCGCACTTCTCATAAATGTTCCAACAGCAAGAAGTCTCGTAGCTTATATTGCCATATTATTATTACTCAACATGATCAAGTCACAAATACATCAGTTTAAAACACTGAATTATGCAGCCGGCAGCGATCGAAATGACTTTCCGATGTCCATGACGGTAAAAACTTCTGTTCTTCCAGTCGATTCGGTCGAGGTCACAGGTCGGGTCACAGGTCAGGCCACTACACCGATAGGCTGGTCCTTACGATGTACCCCAGTAGGTCGGTCGGGGTCACCAAACCGATCACGACCATCTTATTTGCTACCTTCCCCTGCTCCGTCACTGAAAAAGAACGGTTCTTGTCAGTCATGCATATTTGTAGTCAAGACGCGATACACAATGTGTAAAGGCACAATATAATGTCATAGTCATTCCATTGCAGCATTGAACCACGGCTGTGCTAAAGTGTACTGGCAGATAGGTATCTGGACATTGTTTGCCGACCATTTTCAGAAAAGGGACGTTTAAATATTTAATCATAATACTGGAGGCGTATCGCACGTTTCGTGATTCATTAAAGACAAAATGAAAAGCATGGCGATAAAGACGAAGTTAATAAGGCTTGTGTTGTTGCAATGCAAAGTACAATTAAAAATGCAATCAGTATCTAGTTTCCTTAGTTAACCTGTTAAAAAGACAATGTCAACATGTCTTTTTTCAAAAGCTATAATTAACACCCCAGTCTTTTTACTGATGCTTCAAACGGTTCTATATTTGGTCTTCAATGAGCTGGCAATCCTAGCGAAACTGTAAAAATCCACATCCTCCTTTTGGTAGTTACAGCGTAATTGCAACGTGGGGAAACGAAAAGTCTGGCAAAGTCACAGAGTCCATCCAAAATGCCACTCGAAAAGGATGCACACCTCTGAAAAGTCCCGTTTGGTAAAGCCAAGGCCACATGGACAACATTCCACACTGATTGGCGCGTCTGATACCTTTGTCGGCCTGACAACAAGTACCATGAACTCGCGTCCAGCCCTGCCCGTTAGCCGCCCACTGCCGTTCGCCGGCGCGGCGCGCGCCATGTTGGGGGGTGGCGAGGCCGGTACTCACCACGCCGCTGGCTGTGCACAATGAGCGCACAGCCGTGGAGCTGCAGCTTTTTTGACAGCTCGAGCAGTGTGTGATCACGCGACAGAGTGCACAGATCGCGGCACATCACCTGAGGAACACACGGCCACGGTCAGCGGCCATATCCGGCTGACAGACCGATCATACTGATAGCCGGACGACGAGCAGGCCACAGACACTGGCGCGACAAGAATGCGCCTCAGAAAAAGGTTGGACCGGAGCTTAGGCAAACAGCTGGGTGCATGTCAGGGAAAGTGAACGATTATACCGTACAGTGGTTGCGTGTCGTACATGCTAAGTGAGCGGGGCATTCGGCGATGATAAATCTTATTACGGCGTGTAAGGAGCGTACGAACAAGTAGCGATCAACGATTAAGCCGAAACACGGAATCGCACGGGTCATGGGATTGGTATTGCTTCCTATCCCAACGCGCCTGGAATTGAACAAAACAGTGGCGAGCTGGTGTTCTCAAGGTTAATCCGGTTGTAGCGCCAATTACAAAGCGGGCATCCATTTTCGACAGCTGTTGAAAGTGATATTGAATCGAACCGAATCGGAAACGTGACCAAGGAAAACTTGAGCTTGTTACTTCGAAACATGTATGCTGTGATGCTTCGAAACATGCCTGGCTCATTCGACTGAAAGCAAAGATTTGAGCAAGAATTATAGACGTTCAGTTTTGAGTACTGCTAATTTCTACTGCAATTTTCGAAGGTTTATTGGGAACAGACAGTGGCTATTGAACACATGTGCCAAGGCAGTTTTCGAACGTCGCACAAAATTGTCAAAGAGAAAAATTGCATAAGCATTATCAAAATCATGCAATAAAGCTAACACTAGTCATGCAAATGAAAGCTGACAAAAAGGTAACAACACAAATGGCAGAGGAAAGTGCAAATAATTGCAACTTTGCACCTCTCTTCGTCGGGATTGGCGAGAAAAGCCAAATAATGGTGACGGCGATTAAGCGCTCTATTGTAGCTCAATACAGAGCCCTCACATACTGCACTTACCTCTCCGACTGGTGTGGACGGCAGTGACCTTTGGACGGCTAGTGACGTCATTAGTGACCTCAGAGTCACAATACCAACAAGCTCCCTGTGGAGCAGAAAGGCACGGTGTCACAGCGGGATGTGATAACTCATCATGGAATGCCCAAACCACGCGAGCCTAGCTATAGGGAACTATTCACAAACAACGTTAAATAAGCCTACTTTTCGGCTTGGGCTGATCAACGTGTCTGTTTGTCTGTTCGATTGTTTGTTTGTGTGTGTAGAGGAGAAATGTGGCATGTAAACGTTTCGCCGTTAGTTATTTGATTTTCAGGTATTACTAAACGGTCTTGAGCCTAGTATGAAAGCACTTAGTGATAGCGCCTGACATACCTGCATGTCAACAGGTAAATAAATTCCGCATTGCAGCTGCTGTGTGAAAAAAAAAACAATGCTTGGAATGTTCATTGTCATCCTCACGAAGCTTTTCGGCAGTACCTTGGAGTATGATCTTCCATGTTCCACGGAAGGCGAGGGAAGGTTAACAAGTGTTCGGTGCTCAGAAGGGTAGAGTTACAGAGTCGGTAGGACAGCAAAGACGCCACAAAGAATGCAATGTAGCCGTGCATGTAAGTACGGATCGGTTTGACTTCGACCTCGCCTTTAAGTGGGTTCTTTGATTGTTTGGTGATCTTTTGGTATTAACCCAGGTGGGGGGGGCATTTTTTTGCCCCCCCTTTAGTTTTTTCGATATATCTCGAGAACCGCTGCGCCGATCGTCACCAAACTTTCAGTACCCTTCCGGGAGCAGCTAGCGCACATGGTGACCAAAAATTTTTCCAAAGGCTATGATAGGTTGGCCGCTAATGACGTCAGAGTGACGTCATTTTTGCCATTTTCGACCCAAAAAAAGGTTTCGCGGGAAGAGCTGTCAGGCCTACAGCTTTAGAGATACAGAAAAATGTTTTAGACATAAAAGGTGGGGAATCAAAAGGGCTACAGAACTGCAATTTCGGTTTTTCCAATTTTTGGATTTTGACCCCCAAAAACAAAAAATAGATTGTTTGAATATAATAGCCAAAAATCTTTTTTTTAATTTCGAAAAAACCGGAATATATGTGATAGTCCCTAGCGCCTTCTATCTACATACCAAATTTGAGATCGATACCTCTTTTTTTGGCCAAGTTATAGCGAAAAAACTGTTCAAAATTGTTGACGTCAATTTTTCAAACTCAATTTTTAGCAATTCTAGACCTCGTAGCGCAAAACAAAGACCACCATTAGACTCCCCGTGACGAGCTGCATCGACTCGATACCCAGTTTATTCAAAAATATCAACTTTGAAATTTGACCTTTTTTACCTGACCTTGACCTGACCTCCACCAGAAAGTGACCTAAACCGTACCTGATGGTCTTATGACCAACACCATTGAGTTGGAAATGAAAAACTGGCCATAAAACATGCATCACATAACCTTAGTACAGTTGGGCTCATGTGGTGACCCTTGGTGACCTTTGGTGACCTGACCTGTGACCTAACCTGGTATGACCAGCGACCTCTAATAGCAACATATGTACTATACAACTGACGCCTTATCGCTGATTTTCGACAAAATGCGTTTTACTCGGTGTTATAGCGCTTTCCCTAGAAGCCCCGTGAACGGTGAAACATTTTATCTTTGACCTGACCTGTGACGTCATCGGTGACCCCGAGGTCAATGAAATTTGGTTTCCTTCAACAAATTTGACAGGGCTATCGAACGCCGTTTGAATTTTCCGGATCCGTCCAGTAGTTTCGGAGATACGGGGGGGGGGCAAAAAAAATGCCCCCCCCCCACACTGCGCGGAAGGTGGCTGGTAGGCCCACCGCCTGCCGGGTTAACCCTCACCCGGTAAGGGGGGAGGTCGAACGGACCCCCCTCGTTTTTTCGCGACTAACTCGCGCAAAAAGCAGCGGCCGATCGCGACGAAACTTTCACTACCCTCGCGTTAATCAAGTCTACACCTACCCTGAAAATTGTATGACCCTGACCCAAATGACCTTTGACCTGTGACCTACTTTTCGAAACCATGTTTGGCCGGAATCGCGATGCGGCGTATATCGGCTCGCATTAGCCGCGCGCTTGCAGTCTCTTTGTGGTTTCAAGTGTTCAAACATGTGATATGATGTTGGTCCCAAGCATTAGGGTGGATGTCAAGGTCACCTGAAGGCATGGGTGGAGAATCACGGTTTCAAAGTTGGTGTGGCGCCAGTTGCTTGGAATAATGCTATGTAGCAGAAACGTTGACCGCAGCTATAATACAGTTACCAAAATATTTATAAACATATTAGTATCCGGTTGTCTTTTTCCCTGAAACTCATTGTTCTTAATTACCATCATCATCATTTATTCTTATGTCCATCCATGGTAAATGGCTTTTCGGGACAAAGGTCAAAGTAGGTTCCTACTTACAAAGATAAAATACATATACGAAAGCCAATAGTTTACACTAAAATGCACAACACCCATACGAAACTTTTCATGTTTGTTCATGAAACAAACATTTTTATTTATTTTTATAAAACTGAAATCCTTAAATTTCATAGTTCTGCCCTGAAAAGTTAGTATGGCATTGCCATACCATCTTTCAAGTTGGTGTGGCGCATGCCATACCTGCCATACCACATTCTCCACCCGTGCCTGAAGGTCAGGTCAGGTCATTGACCTTTGATGACCTCAGTTAACTATTTCGAGTTTTACATGTTTCTAAGCTAGTTCTTGGAGCTGAATTCGAATTTATCAACCATTTGAACATTTACGAAGAAGATTTGATGCCTTCGTAACATGTTACGAAGCTGTCAGAGGCGGTTGGCACGTACTATTAATACCCGGCAGGACCCCTACTGATTGACACCTGGTATCTGCCCAGCCTGCCGTCCGCCTGTTTGGGAGAGGTCCAACGGACCCCCTCCCCCCATACGTTCGCGGCTGGCAACATAGGCGGCGGAACGGGGTAGGGCACCGGGGCACCGTGCCCCTCTTTGATTTTGGCATATTAACATTAGCCCTATGGGCGTTGCATGGAAAGAATGGGACGAAAAGTCGGCAGTGCCCCCCCCCCCCCTTAACTGAAGGCGTTCCGCCACTACTGGCTGGCAAAACACCAAAACGGGCGAGGGTTAATACAAGAATTGGATAGATAAATTAACGCTTTTATTACAAAACTCCATGTGTATAAAACGGCTGTACGAAGCGCCACTAAATGTGGCTATGCCAAGGCAAGCGAAGGCTTATATAACCATTAGTTAAAACAGTAGGTGTTCGCTAGAATTGTGTTCTTCTATTGAAATAATGTAGGTCTAAACTACTTGCTAGGAATATAAATTGAACGTCTTTTAGTAGCTGTATATAAAAAGCCGTTGTGAAGTGACCGCGGTGGCCGGGTAGAGCACTCACCCCGGCTGGCTGACCACGGGCAGCTGGTCAAGGCCCTCCTCCAGCATAATATCGACGGCGTCCTGACACTGCACAGAGGGCAGCACCGTCAGTGGAGCAGAGACATACATGGACGACACCTTGCGGTCCCACCACCTACCGGAGAGGGCACAGGGGGCAGCACCGTCACACCTGGGGCCGGGGCTCAGGAGCACACAAGTGGTGACGCTGACACGGTGTCTACTCTACGTCTTTAGTCGGGCGAGTGACAGAGGTGTCTGTCTGGGCCATGAGCTCAGATCACGAAATTGGGGGTGAAAGTCACCCGGCGACCCGAGCCTGTGCCAAACGGCGTGAATAGACTGTAGTCTGTGCCGCTCAGCACTCAAGTCATGCGGCACAGTCCACCAGTACTAGGCTGCGGCTGGCAGTGCTGATGCCTCGGAATTGGTGGATAAAGATTAAAGAGTCTCTATCGGATCAACCTGTTCCCGATTGTACGTGTACTTTCACGAGGGTGGCGACACTGTCACTGTGCCTGAGTCAGTTGACAGTCTCGGTCAGATTGTCAGCACATATTGTCAGAGTGTGCACATAGTGTTGAAGGAGCGGAGGAAGTCTTCTATCATGTCTCCGCCCGCTGCAGACCGCTGTCCTTGGCCCGGGCGGCCGCCTGGGCTGCGTGCTCGTGGCGGCCGTTGATTGGTCGGAACTCGGAGACCCGCACCGGACGACCGGCGGCCACCGGTCACGTGACCTGACCCGGCAAGGGGTGAGCGGAAAGCCGAGCCGGGTTCTGATAGAAGCGGCGGAGTCTAGCTGCCGTGTTGAAAAGTCTGCAAGTTTTCAAACGGTGGCACATAGATTGTCAGCAGTCTTGCACCTTTGTTGACCTTCCTGCGGTAGGCGGGGTCAGGATGGGATCGTACCGCAGAGTTCATTCCGTGCCCTTTGGACCGCTCACAGACACCACAGGGGCCCCTGAATACAGCAGCACTCGTTATCTGTACCGCCGGGTGGCACAGTACGGGTCAGTGGGTCGTGTTTATGGCTGGTATTCAGTTGACCCTTTGACCGACTGCTGGTTACATGACCCCAGACCCGGAACAGTGCTAAAACGTATTGCACGGTTAAAATGTCTAGTGAAGATACAATCCAAACAATTCTGTTTCATAATCTAATGAGAAGGCTGGTGGCTGGTGACGAAACCTGCATGCAAATTAACTATAATTGTCATACCAATTTCCACGGCACTTGAATACAGACCAACCAATGCACAACCCTTTAGAAAGCTAAAACATTACCACATAATTTAGCTTTTCGGACGCCTGCATCCAACCTAAGTGGTCATGCTTATTTCAAACATTGCACTCTCCCAAAGACCACATAAAGATAATTCGTATACCTATCACTTTCTGCGACCGGTTGAAATGTGGAACACTCGGTCATTGTCCAGCGGGGTTCATCACACCCGGCCGATCTAGAGGCGCACATGAGGACAGCGCGTGATGCGTCACCGTCTGCGCTTCCCTCAGCGACCGGGGTACGCCGCTGCCGTCCAGTGTTTACCATTCACGTCAGGGGATGTAAACTAATCGGGCCGCTGCGAAAGAGCGCGGCTTCCATGGATTGTTCTGGTGAGTACGCAGCGCGCTTGAATGTACTGGCAACATGTGAATTGTAAGACATTCTAAGGCTTGATTTTCAAATCTACGGATGCATCTTTATTCTATTTTATTTATTAAATCAAATAATTATTTCTTCTACACTATATGCAGTAATGGGCGTGTTAATCGTAGTAAATATGCGTTTCATGCCTGTGAATCATTGGTCATTCCACCTACCACAATAACCAAACATTGATTGCCTCTAGTAAACACCCACCGTTCTACTGAGCCAGCAGCAGCCAAACCCACTCACCCAGACGTCTGGGCCGCTGGGTCCTCTCCGTTCACACCATCTCCCTGGCCGGCGGCCGGCAGGCTGGGCAGGTGCCATGTGGCCGTGAGAGGCGTCCTGGTGATCCACGCACTCGTCTGGGCCGGGTATGAGGTCAGCGACCCGTCGCCGGTCTCTGCTGACCCCTCGGGCAGCGCCGCCGGGCGCGGCGACACGTCGAGGGCGTCGTTTGTTTGAAGATCGGATGGGGAGGTAAGCGTGTCATATGCTGTCAGCTCACTGAAAATAGTAAAATACGGACGTTAATTTTCTAATTTTTTTTTTGGTGAGTTAACCCTATTAGTGGCAGGCTCCTGACTATGATGTATCTTAGGCAAGGCTGCTCAATGCCTCATGACAATGGTTGAGGCAATCTTAGCAGGTAAAAGCGTATAATACCTATGTAAAGCGGTGAGTCGTTACACAATGCAAGTTTTGCGTGGCACCATCTCAGTCCCGACAAAAACTGTCGTGGCACTTGCAATAGGACGCGATGTTTCCAAAGCAGCACTTCTTTGGGGAATTGGCTAGAAACACATTCATTCATTTATTCATTTATTTTCTTTTTTGCTGGCCGCTGCAGGCCACCCACGAACCGCAACATTGTCGATGTTATATAACATAATAGCACATTGCAAAATATTACATATACGCCGCAATCTAACAAAAATTAGGCGTTTTAGCGGTGCCCGTCAACGTGCACAAATATGAAAACTCGCCATTGAGGCGTCTGTGTTCCCCGACAAATGTCACCAGTGAACCAACCAACATCTTGTCTTGTACATTCAAACACGTTAGAATTACTAAATCACACGGGGTGCGGCGATTCACATTAGGTAACCTTCCTCTCAAGTCACTTGAAGTCATCTACTTACTCCTGAAACCGAACCCGTTTCTTCCTCCGGTTCGGCGCCGTGAAATCCACTAGACACGAGACTGCCGGCGACATCCCTGGCCTGCGCGGACCTCTCACAAACACAGACGCGTCGTATCTGCGCCCGGTCGCGCCGGTCGCCACTGCCGGCCCGCAGCGTCTTCCCTCGCGCACCTCCCAATACTGACGGCCCAGGTCACGGACTCTGCCAGCAAAAACCGGACCGATCCGGCTGACACCGGACACAGCCAGATGTAGCCGACTTCAAGGGCGCAAACAGGGGCGCAAACAGGTTCGGCAAAAGGTTGGACCGTGTTTGCAGTCGGGACTGCAGGGTTGAAAATAACTCGCCCTCTTGAAAATAACTCGCTCAGTGTAGTTGGCATCAATGGACTTCGCTAGTTATATACTGAATGCAGTAAACAAACTTTGTTTTAGTGCTTCAATCGAGTTGTTTCAGCCTCACAGTGTCAGTGTGTGTTTGCAGTTTCGTTGCGTCGCCCCTGCGCACCCAGCCCCGTCAATCGCCGACAGCCTGCAGTCGGTGCATTGTGTGGCCTTGACGAGCGAGCGAGGCTGGCTTCTGTTTGTGATAAGGCAGCGGGGGTCGCCGACCGCCGCGTCACTCGTTTTCACAAAGCTGTGTGTATGTTCGTCTGTGTGTATGACAGCGAGCACGACTGTTGGCCGTGCTGTAATGTGTTCTTTGAACGAGACTGACAAACACGCTGCGTTCCGGTGCATGGATGCTTGAGGGCATCCGGACGTCCTCCTGGCCAACGGTCGCGATGGGTTAATGTTTTGTCGCCGTGACCTCGGTGATAAGCAGCGACGGTCATCTATGACGCTGAGGACTCTCCTTCACATGAAAGTTGATGCATTAAACAAGCGCGACTCGAGAAAGTCCCGGAGATAATGAAGACACATGGAGAAAACAGATAAAGATACGCATTCTCAATACACAAAACAGGTGCACACGACTGATAATGCCAGCTGCTGCGTATAGTTTGCTTATTTCAAAGCGTCAACGTTGGAGTTAATTCATTCGCCCTTCTTCAAATGTTATATAGTGTAAATACCTATGGACTTGGGTGTCTGAAGATAATGAGTGCTCTATCGATGTTAAATAAATGTACTTAGTGCTTGGTCACCTTTGATTCGCTGACGCAGCTCCAAACCAAGTTTGTGAAGCCAAATAGGACCACTGGAAACTCGTCTGGATCCCAGTCCATCCTCTTGTGGGCGGAAACGGGACGCGATGCCCGGATAGTTCCAGAATGGCCATATATCAGCGCTGGAGTTCCCAGGGGTGGGTCCTTGGCCCACTGTTGTTTCAACTTTAACGTCAGTAACCTGTCCTCCTCTCGCGATAGTCGGCACTGTTGCTGGATGACTTTCTAAGCTCTGCACAACTTACATCAGTACCGAAGCAGCACTTCCCATTGCGGTTTTAGGCAAAACCAAGGCCCTAAATACAAGGTTGCACGGACTTATTTCTACTAAACCTACCAGAATATAGTTTCACGGTTGATTATTTAAATAATTATTCAATCAAAATTTAATTATTAATATCTCGTAATCATTATAAGCAATTTTATAAATCAACTTTCAATTTGCTTGCCTTTTACTAGCAAAATAACTTTTCTAGTATTGGGTCAACATAGTGGTGTAGCAGTAGGAACCACATCTGGCAAAACCCCAATACCTACATACAGCAGAAAAGCAGCCACCAGGTGTCGCTACAGTCGCAGCACAGATGTCGCGCGCGTCGCCAATCGCCAAACTACCGATTTCCATAAGGCTGCGAATGTACAGATATGTAACGGAAAGTCGCCCTTAAGGATTACGCTTACATCCTTTGCTTATCAGGTCGATGGTTGGAAATTGGGAGGGTCTCGGCTATTTTCGACCACGGATATGCCTTTATCACATGATGAGGAACATACTGATAAGCGTTTTATGTGTCATAACAGCACAAAAGTATTTTAATCATTTTTCAAAAATAGCCGTTCTGCCGTATCTTTCAGTGCAAGGTGCCGTCGGTCATCCCCGACGTGACGTCACGCCGGGGATTTCCAGATTTTCCTACTAGACTTCGACGCCCCCTGGGCAAAACAGTCGCAATGTGGTTACCAAGCGGAGTACGGGCCAACGTCCGACAATCTGGACAAGAGGGAGGATGTTTTGCATCGATCGTGCAAGCCGCCACAATTCTCTTGAGCCTAAAATGGTATATATATATATATATATATATATATATATATATATATATATATATATATATATATATATATATATATATATATATATATATATATATATATATATATATATATATATATATTATTTATTTCTCAGCAGATTCAATAATCTATCTACTCTACTATTTATAAATCTTAAAAAGTCCGCCGCCGGTTACTCCCAAAACGCTTATTGCGGCGCCGTCGATTGACGCACGGGGGAATTTTCACGACACGTGGGTCACGTCATTCAACAGGTCGTATTAAATTTTGGGCACGATGCTGGCCGGGGG